GTCAAGAGTTGTGCCATTCTTGTCATCAAATCTTCGGAGATGGTGTTTGTGGAGTTCTCACCGTGTCGCTCTTCACTAGTAGATTCCTCCATAGTTTGTGATTGCTTATGGCAGAGTTTCACAAACCCTAAGATCTCTACTTTGATACCATGATAAAATAAAGACTTTCTTCATATATGTTTTTGTGTATATTAACAAATACAAGCATATGCATATATAACCGCACAGAGAGACAATTAAGGGATACATTCTAGTTTTCTATTATCTAAGGCTAAAATTGTGGTTGACCCTTGAAAGGAAGGATCCAAAACTGATTCTAAGAATCTCTAATTAAAACCTTAATTGACAACTCATACCAACATAAGTTTGGGAAAATGTTATTTGGATGTGCATTCTAGTTTAGGTATGATGGTGGCATGAAAATATGTATGTGTGTGTGAATATATGTGGATGAATATATATAAGTGTAATTGCAAATATTGATTATGGATTAATAGTTTAATGTGTTTGGAATTGATTAAAAATTTGGCTAAGTGTGTAATGCAAGGGTGTTCTTGTTGTAGAGAGAAGGCCCTGGGCGTAGGGCATGATGTTGAGTTCTCGCTATAGCGAGAAGGCAATAGAGAGAGGTGCATTTTTTGGTGCAGTCTGGCTGTAGCGAGATTCTGCAGAAACCAGAGTGCAACTTTATCTGAGATATTCGCTGTAGTGAGAGGGGGTGTTGTTGCAGCGAGGGAACCTTACTGTAACGATAGTGTCGTGACCAAAAGGGTATTTGAGGGGTTTAGGATTTGAGAAACACATTTCCACTCTTTTCTCTTCATCTCTCTTTCGATTCTTTCTATTTCTAACCTGTTCTTACCAATTAAACTGCCTTTAAAGTAGTTTGTGAGTTGGATTGAAGGTTGAAATTATGTTTGGGATGCTTTGAGGTAAGTTCTAAGAGTTAGGGTTTCGATTCTCTATTCCTCTTCCTTGTTCTTTCAATTTTTCATGGAGTTTTCTATGTATTTAGGACGAAACTCGTGTGGGGAGTACATTCTTTGTTGATTTCGTGTTTGGGTCTTCGATTTGAGATAAGGGGGACTTTACCCTATCTCATTGTGCTTTGTATTTGTTTATTTGACTATGTATTGCAATGTGGTTAGGATAAAATGTAGGGATGTGTGGGTGTTGATGTACATTTTGTGTTGAACATGATTTGTGAGGAAATGTGATGGAAATTGTGTGGTTAGCTACAATGTGGTTGATGTTGAATAGTGCATGTATTGAGAATAGTTTGATTGTACTCGAAATCATATTGGAAATGTTGTGTGTTTGAATGTAATATGATTGAATGTGGGCATACGTGCCATGTATGAAAGTGAATATTAGAATGTGATTAAGATAGTGGATGAAATTATGTGTTAGCATGCCATCGCTTGATGTTGAATAATTTGAATTGTTAGAAATGTGTGTAAATGGTATGTTAGATGCAATTATGAACGTGTTTGAATATATTGAAAGTTATGAATGGTTTAACGATATATTGGGGGTATGGAAGATGGGGGGCAATAAAAATACCTTGGGGAAGAGAGGGTGGTGGTGACATCAGCAGTGAGCGTGGGTGCACCACAGGTCACACACTCTCCTCCTGACTCGGCCTCTGACTAACAATTTTGCTAAGGGGCCCGTCACCACACACTTTGTATCCGTGAGGCAGGAATTATCCGGCGACCATCCATGATGTGAAAATGAATAAGTCCCGGAGGTTGAGGGCGTTAGAAAAACTGTGATCACAGTGTCACAGTAAGCGTGGCTAGCATGCAGTGAGCGCATATGGGTGTAAATTGTTTGATGTTGCAGTGAACGCACTTGTATGGATTATAATGAAATTATTGCTTTGTGTTTATACGATGAATGATTTATAATGTGATAGAAATGTGTGGAAGTATGCTAGGTGAGTCTCTAGGCTTGTGCGTGTTGGATAGTGTAGAGTATTCACCCTTACATTTGTTTTTTAGGTGACTAAGACGATCAGCACTAGACTCAGTAAAGGGATGAATGGAACTGTTATAGGACTTAAAATATTGTTTTGATGTATTTGAAATGGTTCTGTAGCAGTTATTTGATATAAAATTGTAATCCTTTCCTTTATTTTGAAATACTTTGGTGAGACCCTGTGTTAGAAATTATTTAAATGAAAATTTTTGTTATTCTCATTTTCACGAAATTTATTTATTTGAAAATAAAATTTAGGCGTTATAGGACATCAGCATTGGAACTTTCATTATTCTCCTCAAACAACATTCTTTCCTCGTTTCTCTCCGTTTTCTCACCTTCCCTTCACAGAGAAAACTCTTCTGAATCATGAGTCTCTTCCAAATCCAAGCTCGAATGTCTATTCCATTTAAATTCAAGTAAATTTCTCAGAGCTCATATATCTAGTTTCATTCCTTTTCTTTGATTTTTCTTTTTCAAAAGACATCTACTTTAAATACTTAAAGAAAACTTTATCTTTCATATGATATCCCCCGTTGAGACTGTTGTACCTCTCCTGTGGATATCTAGGAAACTCGTTTGAGGAATCTATTCCAGGTAAGGGGAGTTGATTATAAACTCTAACTCCTTTTCAGTATTTTGGTTTGAATATACTAATATTTTTCTTAAAAATCTCAAGTGTAGGAAATAGCAATCTTTGACATGAAAATCCGTAATTATTTTCAGAACTAATTAAATGCAAATTATAGCAACATCTTTGAAAAGAACCGTTTTTGAGAAATATTACAATTTTACTAGTAAATAGTGTTCAAAAATAGTTCAGATTACTCTCTGATATTTTTGGAATAATCGACATATTGTAAATATTAGATGATATCAAACTCTAGGATAGACAACTTTATTAATACTGAGAAGTGTGTATATTAAATTGTATAACTAATCTAAGTTCGGAGGTGTCTGACCTTCGGGACATTGTATTGATTGTGTGGCATGATATTGTTTGATGATTATCTGTGTTAAACTAGTATTATACAATAAATATAGATGTTGTTTAATGGTTGACCTTAGTCATTAAAACTTACTTCTAAACGCCCCAAATGTGATTTCAACCTTCAATCTAGCTCTCAAACGGCCTTGGAGGTGATTTAATCGGTAAGAATGGGTCTGGGATCGAGGGAATCGCAGAAGAAAGAAGGGAAAACGTAAAAATAACCTATTTCTCGAACTCTAACCCTTCAAATACCCCTTTGATCGCGACACTCTCGCTACAACGAGATATTCTCGCGGCAGCAAGGTCTCCTCGTTGCAGCGACACGCCCTCTCGCTGTAACGAGAGGGCGACAGTTTCAGTCCTTCCTCCCAAGGCCCTCTCACTACAGTGAGAATCCTCTCCCTGCAGTAAGGACAACCCAATATTACACCCTTAACCTGTTTTCAGCATCAGAAAATCTAATCCCATCAATCATACACCCACGCATACATATATATACACATATTCATACTCATTACACACCAAAACACCATCATTACTCCTTCAATGCAAATTTACAACATCCATTTACACTTACACGCACATCTATATGCATTTATACTTATATAAATAACAATAATTAATATTATAAAATTCGAGGCGTTACAATTATGACACATGTATTGTGACATATTGATTTATGTGATATAATACATATATTATGACATATAGATCATTTTAAAAAATGTATGTGCTCTGTTACGATAATGACTTGTAGGATTTATCTGTTATTATTAACCAATGTATACATTGTTAAAAACATATTAAACAATATTTTTAGTATTATATAATTCTTCTTTTAAATAATGGATTTAGTGGGGATAGAGAATACTTACCCTTATTAATAATTTTCAGGAAGACGAATGAGAAGAGAAATAAAGATAGTTAATTCGTTTTAAAATCATAGTTTGATGATTCAGTGAAGAAATACTGCTCTATAGTATTTGAATTAATTAAAGTGTGTAACATTTTATCAAGTTTCTATTTCAGTTAATAAGGCTATGTAACTATTTAATGTTAAGTTTAGAGTTTATACCACTTTGATAAATTGCGTTGTAAATATTAATTTGAAGTTTATTGACAAGACTAATAATTAACTATTTTATATTATAGATTGTATTTACTTTATAGAAGTTTACTTTGCTAAAAACACGCCTTTTATATTTTAAATTTTTATGAATGTACGATGAATTAAATAAATTCTAAAAATAGAAATGTTAGTTTACACTCTTGTTGCAAATTTAAATTTTATAAACATTTCTTTTAAAAAATTTGAATATCTTTAAAATTTTGCAAAATCGAATAATAGAATAAAGTATTTACAATATTTATATTTCTTCACTATAAATTATGTTACAATTTAAGAATAATACAAAAAATGCTTAGACACAAGTGCGAGTGTTGATATAATAATAGGGTAAGTTGAATACCAAAGTATTAAATTGTGCTAACCATTTTTATAGACACTTAACCATTTTATGATTTGTGTGAGTAATTATAAATATATTTTAATTTTATTAGTTGAAATGGGCCGAGTTTCATAACATTGATTACGTCTACCTCTCTTTTGTAAAATGAACAGTAAATTTAACAGAATTACTATTTAAAAGTCATAGAATTAAAATAAAAATACAAAATAAATCATAACAAAACTTATAATTAATGACTAATTTGCCAATAAAACTTTTAAATGTGATTGGATGGATACTGGTAGAATTTTTCAACCGTACTGTATCTATGATATAATAAGATATGAAATTACGTACCGGTGATGCTTGAAGCCTTGAAGAACTATGGTATAAGGTTACAATGGTCATTTAATCAATTTGCTAGACTTTTGAGTCAGCCACCCCATACCGTTCAGCACGAGGAGTCGAAGAACAACACAACACACCATCTCATTTTATGCCACGTGTACATTGTGCCACGTTTTCTCTTCTCATTGGTTAAACTCTCCTCATTCAGTCACCTCCCACGTAAAATCTACTCCAAGCAAAAGAAGAAATATTTACTTCAATAATATTATTAGTTAATTATTATTATTATTAAACCCACTACGACTCGCCGGAGAAAGAAACACACTTTCTTCCGTTTTCCAGAAAACACATTCATTCATTTTCCTTCACTTTCTCGGCGGCCAAACGCCGCATTCCGTCCAGAAAATGGCGTGGAAGCTGGCGCTAATCGTGTTGTCTCTCGCGCTCCTTTTCTCTCCCTCGCAATCGGCAGTTTTCAGCGTAGATCTAGGTTCCGAATGGCTGAAAGTGGCGGTGGTGAACCTGAAGCCCGGTCAGAGCCCGATCTCGATAGCGATCAATGAGATGTCGAAGCGGAAATCACCGGCGCTGGTGTCGTTCCACGACGGCGACCGCCTCCTCGGAGAGGAAGCCGCTGGCCTCGTCGCTCGCTACCCGCAGAAGGTGTATTCGCAAGTGAGGGACCTCATAGGGAAACCCTACAGTTCCGCCAAGAGGCTTTTGGACTCAATGTACTTGCCTTTCGACGTGAAGGAAGATTCTAGAGGCGGCGTGAGTTTCGTCGTTGACGGAGACGACTCCGTTTATTCGGCGGAGGAACTGGTAGCCATGGTGTTGGGTTATGCGGTGAGTCTCGCGGAGTTTCACTCGAAGATTCCGATTAAGGACGCGGTGATCGCGGTGCCGCCGTATATGGGACAAGCTGAACGGAGAGGGTTGGTTCAGGCGGCGCAGTTGGCGGGGATTAATGTTCTTTCGCTGATAAACGAGCATTCCGGTGCGGCGCTGCAGTACGGGATCGATAAGGACTTCTCCAACGAGTCGAGGCATGTCATATTCTATGACATGGGTTCCAGCAGTACCTATGCTGCGCTTGTGTATTTCTCCGCTTACAAGGGTAAGGAGTACGGGAAGACTGTGTTCATCAACCAGTTTCAGGTATTGTGTTGTTTATTTCATTTGGATGCTTGTTTTTGTTCATCTTGAAGATATCATATATGTAGCGATGTGTAGAGTAGATACTTCAAATTTGACACCCTAAAGAACCTTGTGAAACAATATCAACTTTAAAATTATGACATACCTGTACTGTATTGTAGCCAATTCCCGCATCCATGCAACACAGATATTTAGTTTGATGACCAAAGAATAAGCAGCAGCATCAACTTTGAGAGGAATCAAACAATAATTTTTAAATTACGGGATGTACCTGTATTGTTTCACATTGCCTTGCTGAAAGTTTACAATACAGGGTTGGATGTTGGTGTTCGTGGATTATGATATTAGCAGTTGAAGGTTTTATTTCTTCTGATTTAGTGATTAATAAATGCTAGCCATATGCAGTTAAGCATGAGTTGTTTATTTGAATGAAAGTTGAAAATTTGAATTAATGCAGTTCTGATTTGAATTTCTAATTGCATCCTATAACTGACTCTAGACTTTATACATTTAATTTTTCATTAAGAGAATCCATTTAGGAGGGAATTATTAAGTACAAACAGCATCCACAAAAGTTGCCAAGCTACCTCATCATGCTATTGAACAGTGGTGAAAAACTCCACAACATAAAATTGCTTGATTTTCTATGTATCATGTGAAATAAACACACTGAATACAGCCTTTACTTTCAAATTATTAATGGTACTATATACCCTTATGTTAAAATCAACTGGCTCAAGCATAACTTTGGTCTGTGAAATGTAAAGTGATCAGTTTAATTTCTTTTATCATTTCTTCTTCCATATCTTAGTCCTCTGAACCAGCTATTCTTAACAGCTTGCTTGGGTTGTGATGCATGTAGGTTAAGGATGTCCGTTGGAACCCAGAGCTAGGTGGTCAGCATATGGAATTGCGATTGGTGGAGTATTTTGCTGATGAGTTCAATGCTCAAGTTGGTGATTGTATAGATGTGAGGAAATTTCCCAAGGCTATGGCTAAATTGAAGAAACAGGTCAAACGAACAAAAGAAATTCTCAGTGCTAACACAGCTGCTCCTATTTCTGTTGAATCACTTCATGGTGACGTGGACTTCAGGTAAGTGAATTTCAAAATTACTCCTCAGCTTCTTCAGTATTCCTGATTTCTGTGAATTTGTGTATTATCCTTTTAGTTCTGAACAAAAGCTGGGGTTTGTACTGTTTAGGTAGTGGTGTAACGTTACACAAGCTTTATCTTTCATTGTAATGGAGACTAATATGGAAAATATTTCATCCAAAATGGGTTTTTAATTTTTTGAAAAAGCAAATTCAATTGAGAATATTTCTTGAAACACATTTTTGTTTGAAAATTAGTCTATCCTTTAACATGCCCTCTTGCATTTTTCTTGTATTTATTTTGTTCTTGGGTGGTTAGTTTTGTATTTTCAAAATGATTTTTGAAGGGAGTGAAGTAGCAATTTTGTTTTGTTTAGTAACAAACTAAACCAATCATTAACAAAAGTTGGTGTTTTTATAAGGACCGACTTTTACTCAAGTGCTAAGAGTATTGGGTACATATCCATATGTATCCAATGAGTACTGTTATTGGAAACATATTTGGTGCAGGTATGGCAACTCTTTAGGAGTACCCATGCATCATAACTTTCCATGTAAAATAGTTACAACAGTGGAGCATGCATCATAACTTTCCATGTAAAATAGTTACAACAGTGGAGGTAGGTAGCAAGAGGACAGTTGCCTTGCTTTCATTGACTGCCTGAGAGTTGGTAAAGTAACTGCAATCTTAGGGGATTGTGATTGACCTACTCTGTCTCTTCGGTACAAGAATGCCCTAACATTTTCTTTGGGATAAAAAAATAGTTGGGAAGATTATAGAAGAAGGAATTCCTGATAAAATTATCGCTCATTAAAGAAATAACATAGGCTCTCAAATGGTTGACTGAGCCAATAAGTAGTTGCTCAAGTGGTTACTTGTTCGTAATTAAACAGCAAGAAGGGACCATAGCTTTTGCTGGCTGGTTATGAGTTGAGAAAGGGGTGCTCCAACCCAGCAGTAACCGCATTTCCTAGCTCTTAACATTCTTGATATAAGGAGTTAAGGAACAATTGACTACTTGGTCAATTCAGTAAGTTGTTTCTCATTAGCCAATCTTTCAACCTTGTTAATTAGTGGAGTGGTTAATTTTTCATTCTAAGACGGGTAAATAGAGAATTCGACAAGCGAGTGTTTCAAGAATTAAGTGGGGACTACTTAAAGGGGAGAAACTATTGGACTTTCAGAGGCAATTAGTAGAAGAGGATAATATGACTATGTGGGTCAGAAAAGTTGCCAAGAAAATTTTAGGTGAATTTAGAAGTTTTAGACCAAAAGATAAAGAATCATGGTGGTGGAATGAAAGTGTGCAAGAGAATATTAGAGAGAAGAGGATATGTTTTAAAACTTTGCATACATGTAATAATGCTGCAAATTGGGTCAGGTTTCAGAAGGCAAGAAATGAGATAAGAAAAGCAATGAGTGAAGCACGTTCTAAAGCTTTTGAAGGGTTCTATCAAGACCTTGGGACGAAGTATGGGGAAAGGAGGATTTATAAACTTGCCAAAAGTAGAGCAAGAAAATCAAGAGTTTGGACCAAGTTAGATGTATTAAGGATGAAAAAGACAAAATTTTAGTTTTGGATCAAGACATCAAAAACCGATGGGAGAAATATTTCTATTAAATTTTTAACAAGAGGCAAGGAGTAAGTGGAAATTTAATAGGAATAGAAGTGCAAATGAACAAGCTAAATTTGGCATACTACCGTAAGGTTCGAGTTGAAGAAGTAAAAGAAGCTCTTAAGAAGATGAAGAACGGTAAAGTAGTTGGCCCTGATAATATCCCTATATGAGTTTGGAAAAGTTTGTCAAAAGTGAAAACAAGGACTAGAATGGCTAACTAAACTTTTTAATGAGAATATGCCAAATGAATAGAGGAAGAGCACTTCGGTTCCTATATATAAGAACAAGGGTGATATCGTGATATCCAAAATTGAGTGAACTATAGAGGGATTAAACTCATGAGTCACACTATGAAGTTCTGGGAAAAGGTGATTGAATATATAATATGGGAGGAAACTGAGATTGCAGAAAATCAATTTGGTTTTATGCTAGGAAGTTCTACAACAGAAGCTATATATCTTTTACGGAAGATGATGGAAAAATTTCACTACAAGGAAAAAGACTTACACATGATTTTTATTGACTTGGAAAAGACATATGATTGGGTACCAAGAGAAGTGCTATGGAAGGCTTTAGAAAATAAAGGAGTTCAAGTATTCGGGCTATACAAGAGATGTATGAGGGGATAACTACATGTTTACTTGTGTGAAAACTTCTGAAGGCATATCTAAGGGCTTCCCAATTGGAATAGGTTTACATCAAAGCTCCGCTTTGAGCCCTTACTTCTTTAATCTTGTTTTAGATGTGCTTACAAATAAGATACAATATATTATCCCTCGATACATGCTATTTGCAGATGATATAGTGTTGGTTGAGGATTTGGAAGAGAAGGTTAAGCTTGACTTATGGAGGGAGACTTTAGAATCTAAAAGTTTTCATTTTAGTAAAAAAACAAGATGAGGATCATGCATTGAAAGTTAAGCTTGAAGAGGATATTATACAAGTTTTCAATTTCAGGTACTTGGGATCGATTTTACAAAATCATAGTTGTTAATAGCATGCTATAGCAGCGCTATTGCGCCTGCGCTGTGCTGTGTGGCTGTCGACTGCCATTGCCACCACGTCGTGGGGCATTTGTCATGTCGCGGTGATTGCGGGGGTTCACCGCCAGAAAAGGGATAAGTTTGCGAAATTGGCAAAGCAAGTAACCTTATTCTGATTTTTCTAATTTGCAGTTTTAATTATTTTTAAGGACTAAACCCTCATTTTAGTCCTCGAGAGATTTTGGGTCTAACAGTTTAATCTTTGAAAATTTTAATATATCATGTTAGTCTTTAACTTCCTTCTCCTTCATTTATTTTAGTCTTTAATCTTAAACTCTATTTAGAAGCAGTAACGAAAAGCTGAGTTATCACATTAAATGCTATGTCAGAAGCCTAGTTGGTACTCTACGATGTTGTTTTGGGAAGTTAACATGGCAAGTCCTTTACAAATGTCAAAAACCCCAATAGGGACCCAAAGCAGAGGAAACCCAAACCATATAACCACAGTTTTTCAGGGAACATGGTACCCATCTCAGCAGGAATCAAAGCTTCAGGAACACTCCATATCAATGGGAAAAACAAGAATCCAAGCAAGGCTAAAAGAGGACCAGCTGCCTGCACAATATCCTCCACCCCAAAGGGCCCTCCAGAAACCTCATAGTAGATGAGAAACATGAGGAATAATTGAAACTTTCTTCACTTGATTTTTTGTGGAGGAAGGAAATTCACCAACAGTTACATACTCACCCCCTCACCCCCGGTAAACTCCTTCATTTCAGTGGAAGCTTTTTTCTTATTCCCTGTAATCCTCAACTTCTGCACCCACCGAAAAGGAATTTTATTTTATTTTTCTAGGATCATAAAATTAGAAGCTCATACATACATAGACCATAAACATACTCCATATAACACCCACCAAATAGAAAATCAAGTACTTTTAAGTCTCAAGCAACAAATATTGAAGTTTGCAAAAGATACCAGCTTTGTCAATTTTACTGGCAAAAAGTCCTCTATCTATTTAGAGTCAACAACCAATTTACACCACACAATAAAATGAAATGAAAACTTTGATTACAGTGATGGGTCTTTCTGAGCTTGCATGAATTTCAGCCATTTAAAGTTTAATCTCTAAATATTTCACTGCCAAACAAAACTATGAAGACGAATTTGAGTGAGATTATGCGTATACATTTAGGGTCTTCTTTGAGACAAATGAGGAAATCTGTAATTATGTTTGAGCAAATAGTACACTTCATAATTTCGCAAAACGACGCCGTTTTTGACATTTGTAAAGGACTTGTCACGTTAACTTCCCAGAACGACATCGTGAAGTGCCAAAATTGGCTTCTGACATGACACTTAATGTGACAACTTAGCTTTTTGTTATTGTTTTTTAACGGAGTTTGAGAATAGGGACTAAAATGAATAACAGAGAAAGAAGTTAGGAACAATGTTGTTAAAATCGCGATTTAATCTCAAGATCGTACGATCTTATGATCTATACCTTGCCTTGCGATCTTGATCAGAATTATGATCGAAAAACAACAAGATCGGGTATGATCCTGATCTTTCTCCTTAGGATCATAGGATCTATGATCCAATCCGATCTTGGTGCGCGGGTTTTTGGGTCAGTTTCCGGACTTGGTTTTTGGGTTGATATTTTGGGACTTGGGTTTTTGGGTCAGGTTTTTACAACCCAGTTTTTAATTAGGGCATTTTTTACCCCATTTTAGAATTCTCTCCCATGCGTCAACACTCAATCCTCTCGGTGCTAGAGAAGATGACGAAAGCGTTGCAGAGAATGGATAATTCGCGAGCCTTCTTCATCAATCCGTTGTGCCTCTTCAAAAACATTACTTGATGAGTGCTTTTGATCTGGATTCGCTTTATCTCTACCTTCTTCTTGCCTATTCTTCTTTATTGGGAGAATTTCTCTTTTTCTTTCTCAGATTTTCTTGCCGCTTTGTTACGGCTTAGCAGCAAAAATATCTTGTTCTTATAGGCTTCTCGGGTTCATTCACGAATTGACACATATTCAATCACCTACTGCTATTCTGACTAATTAATTGTCATTCCTATTTTTTTAATAATATAATTTATTACATGCGACAAAAATCAAAGCTGAATCGCTTTGTTAAGTTCAATTTTATTAAAACATATTTAACCAATCTTTATATTAATTTATTTTAATAGTTATTTTTTTATAAAAATATTCTAACGAATTTCTAAAAATAATAAGATTTCAAAATATACAAATTTAATTAGTTTATTTTGTAATTGAAAGTCTTTTTAAAATTATCTTAAAAAATATAGTTGGCTTTTATCGAGAATATATTTCTAGAATCTAGGATTTTTAATCATGTTTAATTAAATTATGTAATTTAGATGTTAATTTCTTTATATATATTATTTTTTATGCTTCTATATATGTTTAAGTATAGTTTTACATGTTTGGTAAGATTTTACAATCCCATGATTTACGATTTTTGACCCTCCTTTCGATTCTAAGTAAGATCCTAATCTTGAAAACATTGGTTGGGAACTAACGTGACATTAAATTTTCCAGGAACTAAAATACTAGACTCAAAATTTCTCGGGGATTAAAATGAGGGTTTAGTCTATAATTAAGGGTAGAAAGGTCATTTACCTTTTACAAAACATATATATCGATTTCATCTTCCCCATACTTTGCTTCTGCACAAAAAGTCAGGGCCTCAACATAGTGATTTCTCCCCTCTTCACCAGATCACCCATTCCATTTTACTAGAGAAATCAGTTTTTTTGGCATGCGCTCTGTGTTTTTGTTCACTGGACAAGTCAGCTTTTCCAGTGTCTCCTTTGTTTTTCTGTTTACTGATCATTCTTGCTTCAAGCTTTGTTTTTTTGCTGAAGGAGATAAAGCATTGTTTCTCTGTTCACTTATCACTCTTATATATACATGTTATAAATTTTTAAATAACGATCATCCCGCTGTACGCTATTCCACCATAGCATTTTAGGGTTCAGCCACTATTTGCCGCAATGCGAGATTAACAACTATGTACAAAATGATGGAAAAATTAATGAAGACGTTAGTCACATAATACAAGCACGATGTAAAATGGAGAAGGGCATCAGGAGTTATTTGTGACCGTAAAGTACTTATCAAACTGAAAGGAAATTTTTACTGTACTGCAATAGAACTAGCTATCTTATATGGTAGTGAATGCTGGGCCTTAAAGGAACAACATGAGAAAAAAAGTGGGAGTGGCGGAAATGAGAATGCAAGGTAGATGAGTTGACACATAAGAAAAGACAGAATACAAATGATAGTATACGAGTGAATATTGGAGTAGTACCTATAGTGGTAAAAATAATTGAAAATCATCTTAGGTGGTTTGATCATGGAGAAGACCTTTAGAGGCGCTAGCAAAGAGAGTGGACTGGGTGACTCTTAGTCTGATAAAGAGGGATCAAGGGAGACCCAAAAGAACCTTAAACAAAGTTATTAAAAGAGACTTTTTGATTAACTAGATTTCTAAAGATTTGGTTTTTAACCGAACTCAATGAGTGTGATCCATGTAGCGGACCTCACCTAGTGAGATAAGGCTTGATTGTTTTTATGTTATTGTAGAATACCTAGAAAATGGCTAGTAATATCTTTGTTGTATCTTTAGAATAGAGTAGTTTAGATGAGCTATCAGAAATGGTTTTCATATTTAATATATCAACTTAAGACCTTGGACAAAATATATTAAGAGAGAATTTTGAATGAGAAGCACACTCAGCTGAATGGTATTTATGTACAGGGATGGAGGATAATTACAAATAGTAAATACTGAATGCTGTTTTAATGATAAAAATAATTAGGCTGGCTAATTACTCTAATTCTATTTCCTAAGTCACAATGTATCTAGTCTGCTTGTAAAGTGAAATAATCGTTTATTCATATCATGGTTGTTTACTTATTTAAGAAGAATTAATAGTTTATTAGCATAAATAGAGGTGAGTGCTTATATTTCTTGTTGCATCACGATACAGAAGATAATATCCCTATGATTTCATCAGTTCTAATGACTAATAATACTTATATCAAGAATTTCTTTCTTATGATTTCTCAAAATAATTTACTGATGAAAAATAAAGGTATAACCACAAACATGTAGATTTACATGAAATCAAACCATGCTTGCTTTTTATCAAGATTTCTTTTTTGATGTTATCTCAAAATAATTTGCTGATGAAAAATAAACATATAACCTCAAACATGTAGATTTACATAAAATCAAAACCTGCTCAGGTATCACTGATGTCAAGGAGATGTCAATCCTAAATGCTTGAAGCCTGAGAATTCATTACTTGCATTGACTAAAGAGTAATGGCTGATATTTCTTAATCAGTAAAACTCATTTTCACCAAAACCAATGCTTAAATTTTGGTTAATTTATGTACAGCATTGTTAAGGTAGTTGCATATGCCCTTAAAGACAGTGCGGTCTGTATATATTGGTTAATAGTTATGTTGATATCTTCAATCTAATGTTGGATAGTTTTCAAATTATTTGGATATCTGAGAAGGGGAAACAAGGAAAATAAAAAATAAATTTGAAGAATGAAATTTCCTTATATGATCAAAGTCATCAAGTGAAATGCATAGACTAGTTAGATAAAATTCAAACATTGACAAGGAAAATAAAGTTTTACTTGGTTATTAAGTTATGATATAATTTGGTTTTTGACCAAGCTTAATGGCATTGTGTGATCATGTAACCAACTTCACCTAGTGAAATAAAGCTTGGTGGTTGTTGTATCAAGTTATGAAATATTTTTACTGCATATAATGCTTAAGGGTCCTTCATTCAAGGCTTCTTTTCTTATAGGAGCACAATAACCCGTGAGAAATTTGAAGAGCTCTGTGAAGATATTTGGGAAAAATCTCTTTTACCTGTGAAAGAGGTGCTTGAGCATTCTGGCTTGTCGGTGGATCAAATATATGCAGTGGAATTGATTGGAGGTGCAACCAGAGTGCCAAAATTACAGGTTTGAATAAGCTTTTTCCTTCTTTGACAATTCTTTTGGGAATGGTGCACTTAGTGAAGGGTGGGATTATATCTGCAGATATTTGTGCAGTATTGAACTCGCTGTTTTATAGTGTTGTCTTAGCAATCAACTACTGTTTTCCATATATCACCTGTTAATATACCTAGTTTTGACAAATTAGTGCTTCTTATTAAAGTATACAATTGTATCTGTATACTTTTGTTCCTTTGCTAGCACATTGTTCAGTATATTGTTAGCTGTTAAAAGTTAAAACACATCATGTGCACGGTGCACCCTCATTTGTTGTTTAACAGAAGTAACTAACTGTTCAGTTAGGTACTGGTCAAACCATTCTGTTACAATTCTGTTCAACTGAAGTGATTCAATTTTGACAGTTTCTGGTGCACAATTTCATATATAATTCAGATTCTTTCAGCTTCTCTCAGTTTTCTGTCCTATTCTCGCTCATTTTCTCAGTTTATGTTTGCCCGAACTTCATCAAGTCTATGTTGTTCATCTTAGATATTCATGTCTTACAAGCGTTTGTGCTGGCCACTTCTTTTATGACTAAGTTGAATGATGAAGAAAAAGAAAGAGCACAGCTGACAACTCACATGTTTAAATAAAATTTTGATGGACAGATAGGCAACATGAATATGATTCAATTGCATAAACTCTCTTATTTCAATTATGAATATAATTAAGTTTGAATGTCTAGAGTCCCTGCCTTAATTGTCAACTAATATTTGGTATCTATTTGTTGTCAAATGAAATTGCAGCATTTTATCTTGTTTACATATGTATTATTGTTCGATACAGTGTTTGCATGTTAGTTTTGCAGGTGAAGTATTTACTCAGCTGTCCAGCATTAATGTGTTGAGGTTTGTTTATTGTAATTCTGTTTCATATTATTACAGGCAAAGCTTCAAGAGTTCCTTGGGAGGAAAGATCTTGATAGGCATCTTGATGCTGATGAAGCAATAGTTCTTGGTGCGGCACTGCATGCTGCAAATTTAAGTGATGGTATCAAATTGAACCGCAAACTAGGAATGATTGATGGTTCCTTATATGAATTTGTGGTTGAGTTAAATGGTCCTGATCTTTTGAAAGATGAAAGCTCAAGGCAGTTACTTGTACCACGAATGAAGAAACTTCCGAGTAAGGTAAATCAATTGATTCATGCTGAATGTGACTAATATTATAAGAAGAATGAATTGATAAATTATATTCTCCTATTTAATAATCAATTATACTATTGTATACTTAACAGATGTTCAGATCCATTAATCATAACAAAGATTTTAAAGTTTCCCTAGCATATGAAAGTGAACATCATTTGCCACCTGGTGTTACCTCTCCTGAAATTGCTCAATACCAGATATCTGGTTTGACTGATGCAAGTGAGAGGTATGGATAAAAGACTTCCTGAAGTTTATGGACATATTCCTTATTTAAGTCCTATGAGGAATTATTTTTCATGCAAAATATTTTGAAACTCCAATGCCTTCCTATTTATGTTTCTCCATTGTTCTTCTAGATACTCGTCTCGGAATTTGTCAGCCCCCATCAAGGCAAACATACATTTTTCTCTTAGTAGAAGTGGAATTCTTTCTCTGGATCGAGCAGATGCTGTTATTGAAATAACTGAGTGGGTGGAGGTTCCTAGGAAGAATTTGACCATAGAGAATTCAACGATTTCATCGAATGTGTCAGATGAATCTGCTGCTGGGAACAGTTCTGAGGAAAACAACGGAAGTGTGCAAACTGATAGTGAGATTAGCAAGACAGCCAACAATAGTGCAGAGGAGCAAGCTACTGCTGAGCCTGCTACAGAGAAAAAGCTGAAAAAGCGGACCTTTAGGGTACCATTAAAGGTCAAAGATTACTGGTCACCCTGATTTTATAACCATTTAAACTGGTTGGTGATTTTCAGGAAAAATATTGAAGCAAGATATTCTAATATACTCTTCTCTTCTTGCTTCTTTGTTGTTTGTGCTTTTTATTGGTGACAGATTGTTGAGAAGATGACAGGACCTGGAATGACTCTTTCAAAAGATATTCTTGCTGAAGCCAAACGAAAATTACAAGCACTAGATCAAAAAGATGCAGACAGAAAAAGAACAGCGGAATTAAAAAATAATTTAGAAGGATATATATACACTACTAAGGAAAAGGTTAGTACAAAACAGTATGCTTATGCCTTTCTTTATCTTGACTGCCTTTGATCTCTTATATGATGGGTAATCTTTATTTTTGAGATTTCCCTTTTTTCAGAGATTCATTTAAAAGTTTGGCCTTCAAATAACTTAACATAAGAATGCACCACCGGTTGATATTCCTTTTTAATCCTGTCCCCGCATTCAGAATTATATGCATTTGTTTAAAGTATTTTTCTAATTGCCATGTATTTTTGTCTTCGGAGAGGCTGGGATTTGGGAATGATGTTGCTGCTCTTAATTTATTAGTTTACATACTGTTTAAACTTTATGCCTATTGTTTTCCAATTTAGAATATTAAAAATTGACTAATTTAACTATTTATTATTCTACTTGTTAATACAGCTATTTTATTGAACATGTTCTTAATGCTTCCCATGCTTTTATCAGATTGAAACTATTGAGGAGTTTGAAAAAGTTTCAACAAGTGAGGAACGCCAGTCCTTCATTGAGAAGCTTGATCAGGTTAACCCTTTTCCTTGGGCGACCAGAAAGAAATGTTATTGATAAGAACTTTGACTTAAGCTTTTTGCAATCTGTCAGGTGCAAGACTGGTTATATACAGATGGTGAAGATGCAAATGCTACGGAATTTCAAGAGCGTCTGGATCAGTTAAAAGCTGTTGGAGATCCAATTTTCTTCAGGTATGTTGTATTCAGTACTATAGGTCTATCAAATTTAGTATGTACACCTTTGTAGTGTGCAAAAGTTTTTCTGAATTGGGTTAACATATGTTTCAGGTTAAAAGAACTTACAGCTCGACCAGCAGCAGTTGAGCTTGCTCATAAATACATTGATGAATTGAAACAGGTACCATCTACAAACTTCTGATAGTGTGCCCTAGAGCTTTTTTAGTTTTTTGGTTTAAATACATTGATGAATTGAAACAGGTACCATCTACAAACTTCTGATAGTGTGCCGTAGCGCTTTTTTAGTTTCTTGGTTTATGTTTTTTTTTCAAGCTGAAAGTTTTGTTTTTGGGTGAGGCCCATTCTGTCCATTGATCCATGTAGCTGATCACTCCTAATGAAATAAGGCTTTGTTGATATAGTTGTTTTGGCTAACATGTTTGATACACAAGGGTAGTTTGTTGTTGTAAACACATGCTAGATCAATAGAAATTGTAATATGTTTAAATATGGAATTATCTGATATGACAGGCAACTTTCATTCTTGTAGTTATCTGTTTATCTAATTTTCATCATGTCAGCACTCATATGGCTATTCCTTGAAAATTGTTTGCACACATTCACACAACAGACTCCAGAAATCATATAACTAAAATGTTGTAACATTGAACATCTGTAGAAAAGCTGTTAGTTTGGTGAGCCAAACATGTATAATGAGCAATTGAACGGTAGACGAAGCAGTATATATACATACATACATATATATGAATGTATGTATGTATATATGTGTGTATATATATGTATGTATGTATATATATATATATATATAGGAGGCATTTCAAGTGAGAGGAGTTTGTATTATGAGAGTTGAGAGACATTAATAATGGCCATTGGATCAAATAATTGGCAAGAAAGAGAAGAGAATTAATTGGCAAGAGAGAGAAAAAAGTGGCCATTATTAATGCCTATCACTTTTCATAATAACAAACTCTTCTCACTTGAAATGCCCCCTATATATATATATACTGTGATTTGTTAAATTTTCTATTCAACTTAGCTAGCTATTTTGTAATGTAACTTGAAACATTTATGACATCTGTAGATCGTACAAGAGTGGAAAGCAAACAAGTCTTGGCTTCCACAAGAAAAAGTAGATGAGGTATTTGGTTTTGCTTGATTTCAATAGTCTTGATTTTTAGAATCTATCAAAAATGATGTGATTCCTTCGGGAAATTCATTTTTCGCGTTCCTAACTTGGAAGGTTATAAATGATGCTGAAAAGTTAAAGAATTGGTTGGATGAGAAAGAGGCTGAGCAAAAGAAGTAAGTTCCTGTGATAGTAAATTAGTTGTTTTTGGAGTTTTATTTATTTATTTATTCTTTTACTCTGTTCTTGTATGTGTGGACTTTACAAGACTCATAAGGAGTATCTTTATGAGTAGGTGCATAAACATTTATTTCCATTTACATTATGGTCCTAGAGTTCTAATACTGAGTTATGCATCCATTGTTCCAATTATGAAATTTAATTTGCACTTTGCAGCAATTGACTTTTTAATTTCAATCTGTTTTGTTTTTCTTTATTTAAAATAATAGAATAATTAATTGCATAATTTTATGTTATTGATCTATGAAGTTATCTTTGGAATTGATTTCCTTTAATCTTCTGTTATTGTTGTGTTCACCAGAAAAGAGAGTAGAGACAACAATCTTTATGAATTCTTTATTGAATTGATGAATTTTCTGTATACAACTCTCTTTCCCAGAGCAATGCTCCTCAGAGAATTTTCTCTGCCAAGTTTCAGAAACTAACTTTCAAAAAAGACTCCTAACTATTCTTTCACCTATTATTTATAAATGGAGCTTGAAACAGAAAAATAACTCCTAACTGCTAACTAACATTATTAACTGTCCTCTTTCTTCTAGAGTAAACCAGCCAAGGCTTGGCCTTGTCTAAGTTAGTATTTACAAAGATATTAGAGTTAAGACCCTGACTCCTATCATTCTCCCCATCTAGAAGAACAGACTTGCCCTCAAGTCTGAAGTGAGGAAATTGGCTCAGCAGCACAAATTCATCTTCCCATGTAGTATCCTTTGGAGGACAGACTTCCATTTGATCAGCCGTTAATAACTTCTCTTTGGGCTAGAGCAGCTTCAGGTTCAATTGTAGCTTCAAGTTCAACTTCAAATCCATTAGGTAGGTAAGGAGAGGGACTGTAGTTACCAATAGCCCTTTTTAATTGAGAAACATGAAATATCGGATGCACTGAAGTTTCAGGCAGTTGTAGCTTATAAGCTACCTCACCAATTTGTTGCAGAATCTTGTAGGGCCTATAGAACTTAGCAGCAAGCTTAAGATTGATCCTTCGGACCACTGTTTGCTGCCTGTGGGGACGAAGTTTTAAGAAAACAAACTTTCCAACTTCAAAGGATATGGATCTTCTTTTCTTGTCAGCAAAATGCTTCATCTGCTGCTAGGCCTTGTGCAAGTTACTTCAGTTGAGATAGAGCTTCATCACGGTCAAGTAGATCACTAGCTACAGTTTGTACCTTGGTTTCTCCCAGAAAGAACCGGGTAAGTCTTGGAGGAGGTCTGCCATAAACAATTTCAAATGGAGTAGCAGCTGTGGCAGTTCCTTGGTTGCTTAGAGGCAAAGCACCTTAAGTATGTCTCAAGGCACCTATTGAGAATCTCTGTCTGACCTGTTTCTGGATGATATGAAGAACTCATTTTCAGCTTGGTCCCCTATAATCTGAAGAGCTCTTTCCAAAAAGAGCTGATAAAGAGTGGGTCCCTATCACTCACAATTGAAGAGGGAATGCCATGTAGACTAACTATTTCCTTAGCAAAAACCTCAGCTACTATTCTGGCTGTATAGGGATGCTTAAGCAGAATGAAATGCCCATATTTGGACAACTTGTCTACTACTACCCAAACTGCTGCATAGCCTTTAGATTTCGAAAGCCCTGTAATGAAATTCAATGAAATGTCATCCCATACCATAGAAGGAATAGGTAGGGGCTGAAGTAAATCTCCTGGGACAGTGGATGCATATTTTTGCCTTTGACAGACATCACAACTTTTGATAAATTCCAGGACCCTCTTTTTCATACCCACCCAGTAAATATTTCGTGCAATCTTCCTATAAGTTTTCAGAAAACTGACATTGAGGAATGTAAGAGGAGGTAGATGGTATAACTATGCTCCCTTTATGCAGTAATATCCCATTCTAAACCGAATAACCTGCCCTTACAGAATTTTGCTGTAAATCAGTCTTCATCCTTTGAATAAAATCATCTTCCTTTATTTCTTTCTAAAGTGCCTCACCTTGCAGCCATAAAGGATAGGACAAGATAGCATTTAGCTCCACATCCTTGTAGATTCGTGAGAGGGCATCTGCTGCCTTATTTTCAGTACCAGCCTTGTAGACTACTGTGAATTGGTATCTGAGTAACTTGGATAACCAATTTTGCTTAGCAGTGGTGGTAATCTTCTGATGCAGTACTTCCTTCAAACTCTTCTGATCAGAAAAAATGGTGAACTTCCTCCCAATCAAACAATGACGCCAATGCTGGATGGATAAAACCAGAGCCATCAGTTCCCTCTCATAAGCTGATTTAGACAATTGACCTGCAGAAAGAGCCTTGCTGTAAAATGCAATAGGCTGCTGCTATTGCATTAGAACAGCTCCTATACCACTCCCTGAGGCATCACATTCAATCTAGAATTCTTGTGAAAAATCAGGCAACCTCAACACTGGAGCAGTAGTGACTATTGTCTTCAATTTCTGAAAGGCTTGTTCAGCCCTTGGATTCCACACAAAGGCCTCCTTAGTTAACTCAGTGAGAGGTTTAGTTATCTTCCCATTTCAAAACAAATTTTCTGTAGTACCCTGTCAGCCCAAAGAACCCTCTCACCCTGTTCACATTCTTAGGAGTTGGCCAGTTTAAGATGCTGCTAACCTTAGCAGGGTCCATTGTCACCCCATTTTCAGAAATCACATGTCCAAGATACTCAATTTGACTTCTACCAAAACTACATTTTTTTATATTAGCAACAAACTGATGTGCCCTGAGGACTTCTAGAACTTTAGAAAGATGTAAAATATGTGCAGACCAGTCCCTCATGTAAACTAATATGTCATAAAAAATAATCAGTACAAAGTGACGAAGAAAAGGTTTGAAAACCTGATTCATTCATAGTAGACTGGAAGGTGGTTGGTGCATTCATTAGGCCAAAAGACATGACTAGGTACTCATAATGACCTTCATGATTTCTAAAGGCTGTTTTACCAATGTCTTCCTTCTTAACACGTATTTGATGATAACCTGAATGTAAGTCCAATTTAGAGAAAAATTTCATTCCGTGTAACTCATCAAGCAACTCATCCACCGCTGGAATTGGAACTTGTCTGGCACTGTGACCTTATTTAACTCCCTATAGTCCACACACATTCTCTATGAAAAATCTTTCTTCTTGACTAAAATAACTGGACTAGAGTAAGGACTGGTGCTAGGCCGTATTACCCCGACATTCAGCAGTTCTTTCACTTGCCTCTCTATCTCATCCTTATGATGGTGCGGGTATCTATAAGGTCTGACACTTACTGGACCAGTACCTGGGTATAACACAATAGAGTGCTCAATGGCTCTCTTGGGAGGTAATCTCTTCAATTCTTCAAATATAATTGCATGCTGCTGCAGTAAACCCTGCAGCTCATCTAATTGCTGAGGTTTCAATTCACTGACAATTGCAGGAAAATCCAGAATTCCTTTCTTCCAATTTAGACCTTCAACCTTGCAAAGTTGACCATCTAAAAGCTCATTGAAAGTAGGGACAACATTCTTTTTTTTACCACCAATGCCCTTTAGCTCTACTGGTCGACCATCCACTTGGAAAGTCATAGAGAGATCCTTCCAATCAATTATCATCTTCCCTAGTGTCTTCAGCCAAGCAATTCTCAAGATCATGTCCAGGCCCCCTAGGTCAAGTATGTGTGCATCAATCTGAACCTGAATAGCTCCAAGATTTAAATGAATGTTAGGACGTTTTAACTCTGTGACCATCTCCCAATTTTACTCCAATACCTTCTTTGTCTCCCACCTTTAAGCCCAAAGCTTGGACCACTCTTGGAGAAATAAAGTTGTGGCTGGCTCCACTGTCAATCAACAAGATTATTGGTACTTCTCCCAACCTGCCTTCTAATTTCATTGTATTAGTGTTCCCTTGGGAATTCCCAATCAGTCCTAATAGATCCATTGAAGTACAATCTAGTTGTTCCTCTTTAGACCTATCAGATTCCACTTCCAACCTTACAATCTCTCCTGTCTCACTAATTCCTTCATCCTCTCCTAGAATAACCAATCTTAATTGCCTATCTTGACGATTTGCACAAACATGAAGAGGGTGGTACCTGTCTCCACACATAAAACATAATTCCTTATTTCTCCTTTCTTGGATCTCCCTATTAGACAGGTGTCTCACTCCCCTATCCTTGTATGTGGGATGGGCAGACCTCTGATTGACAGAGGCAGAAGATCCCACTGAGACTCCTGGACCTCTTTCTGCAAAAGATGAAAAAGAATTACCACTTCCAGAGTTTAGCTTAGATTTTGTCTCAGTCTGTGTTTGAGTATTGTCACAAAGTGGATGCCCTAGACTTCCCCTGAATCCTCGAGAAAAAACCCCATTACTCTTGGTCATCTTTTCCATGAAAACGTCTAATTTTTCCTCCAAGGAATTCATTCTTTCCTCGACAGCTTCACTGTGATGACCTTCATTTGCACCACGGTTCGTCATCTTGAAATCCCTTGCTAGACCACACCTTTTTGTTTCTTCCCCAACGGATCCGGCAGGTCGGACCAATGTTGTGTTCACCAGAAAAGAGGGTAGAGAAAACAATCTTTATGAATTCTTTATTGAATTGATGAATTTTCTGCATACAACTCTGTTTCCCAGAGCAATGCTTCTCAGAGAATTTTCTCTGCCAAGTTTCAAAAACTAACTTTCAAAAAAGACCCCTAACTACTCTCCCAGCTATTATTTATTACTGGGGCTTGAAACAGAAAAATAACTCCTAACTGCTAACTAACATTATTAACTGTCCTCTTTTTTCTAGAGTAAACCAGCAAAGGCTTGGCCTTGTATAAGTTAGTATTTACAAAGATATTAGGGTCAAGAACCTGACTCCTATCAGTTACCTTGAGCTCATATAGCACAAAATATTTAGTAAAATAGGCTTTATGATGAAATAATCTGTTAAAGGTTTATCTTGGCATATGAAAGTCTCTTCTGCCAAAAGTATGTGTATGCAACGTAGTGTATTGTCTAACCAAGGATTTTTGGAATTCATTAATTATAAAATCCAGTCCTTTAAAATATTGAGGTAGCATAGATTCCATATGTTTTGAGCATTAGGGATTGTTCTTTGCAAGGTTTCCTTGACTGTTATTTTTCATTCAAGTATGAGCCTCTGCCTTTGTGCTCTGTGAAGAGACTGTAATTTCAGGATGACCAATGGATCATCTTAGTCATGCATTGAGATCATATTGCACCTTTTCATATATGCCTCTGAATATTTAAGAAAATGAACTAGTGTAGCTTTGTAAAGTATTCATTTTCCCATATTTCTGACTACCAACTTAAGTTTGGTCGTTTGAGGAAATTGCAATGTGTACTGTGCACATGATAGTATTGATGTAATTAATGATTAATTTCTTATTCTGTGCTTGTTTTGAAGGACTTCTGGATTCAATAAGCCAGCTTTTACATCTGAAGAGGTACACTTGAAGGTGTTTGACCTGCAGAGCAAGGTAACATCTTTTCTGCCTTTCTAGACCAAGACAGTGTATTGGCATGTGATTTTGCAGTTTCATGAAAGCATTGCCTTTGTTGTTGAGATATATGTTTTATACACATTTACAGGTTAGCAGTATTAATAGAATTCCTAAGCCCAAGCCTAAGGTTCAGAAGCCTGTTAAGAACGAAACAGAGAGCAGTGGGCAGAAGACCGATAATTCCAATTCTAACTCAACTGATAGTTCCACGCCAAGTGATCCTTCAGCTGACAATTCAGAAGGCCAGAATGAAGAAACGGTTGTTGAGCAACCCGAAGTTCATGATGAGCTATGATTAACTGGAGTGCACATGTAGACCAAGTTTTAATCATCTCTACCTACAACATTTTTATAGTTAGAGGTTCGAGACTGGTAATGGTAGAATGGATAGATGAAAAGGAGGCAGTATCAGCTTTTAGCGAACAGGATAATAGAGTTGAGGCAACATTTCTTGGTTGAGTGCTAAAATTTTGAGGTTAGATGGCTATTACTGTTGTAGATGATTAATTTCCCTTATCGATTTGGGGGAGCAAGATGTAATTTAAAGCCATATGAAAGGTTGTGTTTGCCGAACCACAATGTGATAGGGGAAGAAAAAAAACCGGAGATTGGCTCAAGACATCATCCTATAGAAATTTTCCTTCAGTTAGCTCATATAGTTCTAAACGATTTCCTTTTCTTCATAGAAGCAGCAGATGCAAAAGTTAGTTTGCTAATAATGTCATGCAGCGCAAGAATAAGATAAAATTAAATTAGAACGTGTACGAGATAGTGTAAAACATAATATATTAATTGAAGTTATATTTTCCAAGAGGGATCTGAAAAATGCATAAACATAAGTTGTATTGAATTATGTGTTAGACAATTTAAATATGCATGTATGTATGTATGAAAAGAAGAATGTGCAAGTTGAAGGTAGATGATTTTTTAAATATAACAAATAAGCCTTATTCATTCTACTAAATGAAGTCAGTTAACATAAGATTTTACCAATGGCTAGAAAAATTATATTGATTTAGACAGGGAAACTTTTCAAATTAGATTTTATTTAAAGATATCTTAATAATGAAATTTAAGCTTATTTATCTATGCGCCAAGGAAAAGGTTAAAAATGAGGTGAATGTTGTGGTGCCATAAAATTTAAGAGGGTTTAGTAAACTCTTCTATGCTGGTCCAGTGGTATAATGCCACGTATTTATATGCGCGAGTTTGATTCCTTAGACTATACCTAATCGGATTCTTTTTTCTGTTTTTATCCTACATGATAATTAAACTCACTATACTAGCTATTTCTTCTCTCTCCCCCACCTTCTTCGAGGGTAATACATTGAGCAGCACTGCCCCACCAAGTTCCTCCACCAACAACGTTGCATTCATCAGCTGCTTCGCTTATAGCGGTCACGCAGTCATGGACACACTCGTTGACAACTCCGTAAGATAGAATTTCATTCATAATGACACACAATGGCAATGGATAAAATATCCAATAAGTATCTATAAAATTTATCCATAATAAATAGAGTATTTACTTGCTATATAGATACAGGTACGAGTATAAATAAATATTTATAAATTTTAATAGAATAAGCACGATATGGATCTCTAAATACTCACTTTATCCTATATTTACATATATATTTACATAAATTTGAATTTCAGCTTTAAATCATTATAATTTAAAAAGCTAATGGCATTTTCCCTTTGGATTTTCGGGAATGTTAATTACTTTGAAAACATACATCATTGGTCATCTAAACATCAACTACTTCAGAAAACATATATTTTTACTTTATTTTTTCCTTAAGCTATTGATTCAACTGACATCTATAATACAAATCACTTTCTGCACACAAATTTAACCAAACGCAAAAGAAAAATCAAGAAAAAAACATCCACCACATCATGCATGCTACTACCATAATCTCACTGCCAACTGAATGTGATGGTTAATCAAAGTGAATGTGATGTCACAAAATATTCTGATTTTGGAAAATGTTATTTATTTTAAATATAAAATTTTAATTCATATTATATATATAGCTTAAACGTTAAATAAATATTAAAAAACAATGTGCTTCAGAATTAATAAATATAATTTAATCAATCATTGTTACTTGTATTAATGGGATGAAGCATAAACAAAAATATATTAATTCTCCTCCTTATTTATATGCTACAGCCCATATTTTTTCTAAACTTCATCATCTAAATCATATGGCCAAAACTAAATCTTTCAGCATGGTAATCCATTTCATCAAACCTATTCAAATTATAAAATACTATGAAAAGGCGAAAATTAAGTAAAAACAGCTAAGATAAAAAAAAAATCACCATTTCATCATCAAAATGCCTTTGCTCACAAATCTTGAAGGGATCAAGGTAAAGTTAGATCGTGAAGGAGGAGAAGGTGGGTGACAGTTTTTGAATGGAGGAATAGATCTCTACTTCTCTAGCTGCATAAGACATTGACAAATTCAAGAATGGCATTGGTTGCAAGCACCAACAATAAAATTAAGTTAGTCAAAAGAGTAAGGAGAGCAGACAAAGAAAAATGAAGAGAGGAAGGTGAAGAGAGGAACAACCGTTGAGGCAGAACAAAGTAAAAAAAAAAAAAGATTAAAAAATAATGAATTTTTATGAATAAGAAATAATGAATACTATCGGATAAATGAATTAGCTGATGAAAATATCATTTTAGTTTAATTTGTAATTTTGAGTTTATGTTTTGGTTGGTTGTATTAATATTTAGAAAGAGAAATTTTTATCACTTATAATTGTTTAGATATTTGAAAGAATTTTTTTAAAAAAAATTAAAAGTTAAAGTTTAAAAATAAACTAATTTGAAAGATTTTTTTTAAAAAAAATTGAAAATTAAATTTGATCATTGATTTACAAGAAAAGATAAAGTTTGAAAATAAAATAATTACACTGCATTATTCACTTATAATATTTTTTTACTTTTCTTTCTTAGTTATTATTTTTAAAATAAAAAAAAATAACGATGTGTTTGTTATAAAAAAAAAATTAAGAGAAAAGCATTTGAAGAATAAAAATTATATTAAAAGATAAATATATTTAATAAAATTATCAAAGTGATAAAAAAAACTTTGTATTAAAATTATTTAAATAAATTTAAAAATAAAAACAAAGCAATTAATCTAAATTAAACATAAAATTATTAATTTAATTTAATTTCAATTATACGTTAAATTAAGCTTAATCAAATTACATTTTTAATGTTTAATTTACATAATTTTTTTCTTAGAAAAGGGGCTACAAGCCCAAAGACACCACAACTAAGACTTCACACTAGAGGTGAACAAATCTATATAATCCAAATTCAAATAATTAAGATCAGAGACATGAAGGAGCCCTATCAAAACAAGAGAAAGGGATACACAATTCAAGGCCTAATATGAAAAGTCTATCAACACAAAAATTGGTCTCCCTAAATGCATGGTTGAATATGATAAATTTAATATTCTTAAGCATATGCCTAATGCTATGAATAAGATGATATAGAGGATGAAAATAATTCTAAATTGTAAAAATAGGAGATGTTGCTTGTTTGGAGTCACTTTCAATCCAAATGGTGGATATATTATTTTGACTAACAAGTTGGAGACTGAGAAATATACCCCACAATTCTGCTTCAATGGGGGAACAGGCTTCCAAACTAGAGTAGAACTCAGCCACAAGTTGCATTTTGTCATTGCGGATAAGGCCATCACAACCAGTAGTGCTGGAATTTGAAGAAATAACACCATCAATATTAAGCTTCAGCTACTCGGAGGGAGGAAGATTCCATTTAATCTGACGCTAGTCATCAGAAATAGTGAGAATCACCTTAAATTTTCCCTTGCAACAAAGTTTAAAGTGATCAAAATCACAGAAAATTTGATGAATGAGAGCAGTAACTTGAAGGTAGGAACTTTGAAAAACTGATGCATTTCTGTTTTTCCAAAGATGCCATATAACAATACCAAAATGTCTATTCCAACCAAAGGGGTTATTCCTATTATATCCAGTCTGATTGTGCTGCAGCCAGCTAAAAAGGTCATTACTAAAAAAATAATCCCAATTTTGCAAGAGAATAATTTTTTTTCAAACCTGTTTAGCAAAATGGCAATCTTTAAGCACATGCATGATAGTCTCAGGAGCATAATTGTAGCTAGGACAGAGAGAATCACTAGCCATGCTTCTCCTATGCCTCTTAACATTAGTTAGGAGCCTTCCATGAGCAACTTTCCACATAAAGAGAATCACTTTGGGAGGCCTATCCCATTTTAAGATCAATTTAAATAAAGCAGTATTTGAATTGAAATAATAATTATTAGCATAAAACAAATTGTAGGCAGATTTAATAGAAAATATTCCATTCCCATTGGACTTCCAAAAAATAGTGTCCTACACCCCAAATATAGTAGGAGTTTTAAGCAAAAAATGGAGTCATGGATTGGAGGGGGAAGATCATATTTAATCATATTCAAATCCTATTCACCTTAATTAGAAAATATAATTTAGGGAGGTTTAAATTAGCCGCTAGAATAGGATGCAAAGCAAGGATAGATAGATTAGAAAAGGAATCCAACTGTCTGTCCAGAATTTAGCAGTTAACCCATTATCCATAACCCAACCTAACCCTTGGGAGAAGATGTGCCACACAGAAAACATGTCTTTCCATAGGTGGAAAGAGAAATTACTAGTGCCTAAATTGGGGTTTCACCAATATAGAATTTGTATTTACTAGAGGACTTGAGTCCAAAGAGCAGAGGGGGAAGTAATCAATCTCCAACACAATTTCATTAGATAGGCACAATTAAGAATTTGCAAGTTCCTAAAGCCTAGGCTGCCTTCAGACTTAGACCTACACATTTTTTTCTCAGCCAATAAGGTGACATTTCCTGTCCCCCAAGAGACTCCCAAATGAACTGCCTACATAACTTATTAATTTCATTATAGACGACTTTAGGGATGAGCATGGTTTGTATAAAGTAGGAAAGAATGCTCATAATGCAAGATTGAGTTAAAACAACCCTGCCAGCCATGGAAAGGGAATATATTTTCCAAAGAGAAAGCTTTTTTCTGACCTTATCTATTATAAAGGTAAAATCATACTTAAAGGGTTTATGGTGACTGATAGATATGCCAAGATATCTCCCAAAATCTTTTGTGGACTTGATACCTAGGCTATTGCTAGTTTGCTAGATAAGCACTGAGTTAAAGTTTTTGGAGAAAAATACTAAGAATTTCTCTTAATTAATTTTCAGACTATAGGCAATACAGAATTCATTCAAAACAATTTTAATATTATTGGCATGATATATGTCAGCCTTAGCCACTAAAATAATTTCATTGGCAAAAAATAAATGAGAAATTTGAGGCCCATAGTTGCTAAAGGAGAATGGAGTCCAGTCAGCAGACATGACCCTATCTTTAATTAGGTGAAGTAACCTTTCCATACACAACAGAAATAGATAGTGAGAGATTGGATCCCCCTGTCTGATACCCCTAGAGGGCAAAAAGGACTTAGTTCTATTCCTATTCTAACTCAATAATAGAGAGGACGAGGAAATACAATGGTGAATAAGGTTAACTATTTCAAAATTAAAACCAACTTTTTTAATAGTATTTATAATGAATTTCCATCTCAGCCGATCATATGCTTTTTTCAGGTCAATTTTAAGGATCATGTAACCATTCCTACATTTTAATTTACTAAAAGAATGCATGATTTCCTGAATAATGAAGGAGTTATCTATCCCTTGCCTCCCATGAATGAAGTTGGATCGGTTTTCAGAGTTATCTTTCAACCCTTTTTGTTCAACAACATCACAAAAGCTCTTTAACCTTGCATT